ACTTGATGCAGGAATATTTGAACGTTACCGCAGGCGAGCTCATCGGAGCCGTCAGGACAGTCGGAGTAGTTGTCACACTGCTGTTTCTTGGTGATGCACTGATTGTCTCCACAGCGGAACTGATTGGGAGGACAGATGGCTGCAGGACGAAGCAGACGGGACAGAAGGTTAGTTTGTTTTATCACCAGGTGTGGAAAAGATCTATCGCTGCAGATTTCATGTTTCAGCAGAAGAAGAGTTTCTACAACCTGAACATTAATGAAATACTTTCTCTGATATGAAACCTTCCTCATTAAACTCTTTATATGTGATTTTTTGATCCAGCAGATGTCGCCCTTGAGCACCAGCATGAAACCAAAACAACTCGCGCTGCATTGTTGTGTTAGCATGCTAATGCTAGCGATCTTTATTCTGCTGGTATCTTCACACTGCATGTAAATTTACCTGAAATGAGCGTGATCTAGAAACACAGTTAAGCAGTGAGTACAGTATGTTATTCTTCTTTTCTCTAGTCCCTCAATTAAACAACTTTTATACACGAGGGGAGGAGTCAGCCGGCCGTCCCGGCGATGTAAACAAAGTGAAGATAGGACTCTGAAAACTCTGAAAACATCACAGACAGTGGGACTCGGGTGTTACACCCATTGTAGACAGTCATGACTCAGAGTTATTTTCAGAGGATATACTTGATGTCTACATTTAAAGCCTTTAATGAATAAAAACACTGAATGTTTATCGTAGCTGCTGGATCAGTTCATGTTTCAGATCTTCAGCTTATTGAACATACTCTCACAGTCCTGCTCGTCTGAGTGGTCGGCACAGTCGGGTTCTCCGTTGCAGCGGCGCTGAGCCTCGATGCAGCCGCCTTTATCACACTGGAACTGAAACGCCGAGCAGACGGGACAGTTCTCCTCGTCGCTGCTGTCATCACATTCAGCGAAACCGTCACAGCGCCACGCCATGGGGATGCAGTCGATCTCGCCCGTGGTGCAGGTGAACTGCTCTGTGGAGCAGGTGGGAGGCTCTGAGGGGGAGGAAGAGGAGGAGGAGGAAGAGGAGGAAGAGGAGGAGGGAGAGGGAGAGGAGGAGGAAGAGGAGGAGGAGGAGGAAGAGGAGGAGGAGGAGGAGGGAGAGGGAGAGGAGGAGGAGGAGGAGGAGGAAGAGGAGGAGGAGGAGGAGGAGAGGAGGAGGAAGAGGAGGAGGAAGAGGAGGAAGAGGAGGAGGAGGAGGAGGAGGAAGAGGAGGAGGGAGAGGGAGAGGAGGAGGAAGAGGAGGAGGAGGAGGAGGAGGAGAGGAGGAGAGGGAGAGGAGGAGGAGGAGGAGGAGGAGGAGGAGGAGGAGGAGGAGAGGAGGAGGAAGAGGAGGAGAAGAGGAGGAAGAGGAGGAGGAGGAGGAGGAGGAAGAGGAGGAGGGAGGGGAGAGGAGGAGGAAGAGGAGGAGGAGGAGGAGGGAGAGGGAGAGGAGGAGGAGGAGGAGGAGGAAGAGGAGGAGGAGGAGGAGAGGAGGAGGAAGAGGAGGAGGAGGAGGAGGAGGAGGAGAGGAGGAGGAAGAGGAGGAGGAGGAAGAGGAGGAGGAGGAGGAGAGGAGGAGGAGAGGAGGAGGAAGAGGAGGAGGAGGAGAAGAGGAGGAGGAGGAGGAGGAGGGAGAGGAGGAGGAGGAGGAGAGGAGGAGGAAGAGGAGGAAGAGGAGGAGGAGGAGGAAGAGGAGGAGAAGAGGAGGAGGAGGAGGAGGAAGAGGAGGAGGGAGAGGAGGAGGAGGAGGAGGAGGAGGAGGAGAGGAGGAGGAGGAGGAGGAGGGAGAGGAGGAGGAGGAGGAGAGGAGGAGGAAGAGGAGGAAGAGGAGGAGGAGGAGGAAAGGAGGAGGAGGAGGAGGAGGAAGAGGAGGAGGGAGAGGAGAGGAGGAGGAAGAGGAGGAGAGGAGGAGGGAGAGGGAGAGGAGGAGGAGGAGGAGGAGGAAGAGGAGAGGAGGAGAGGAGGAGGAAGAGGAGGAGGAGGAGGAGGAAGAGAGGAGGAGGAGGAGGAGGAGAGAGGAGAGGAGGAGGAGGAGGAGAGAGGAGGAAGAGGAGGAGGAAGAGGAGGAAGAGGAGGAGGAGAAGAGGAGGAGGAGAGGAGGAGGAAGAGGAGAGGAGGAGGAGGAGAGGGAGAGGAGGAGGAGGAGGAAGAGGAGGAGGAGGAGGGAGGAGGAAGAGGAGGAGGAAGAGGAGGAGGAGGAGGAGGAAGAGGAGGAGGAGGAGGAGGAGAGGAGGAGGAAGAGGAGGAGGAGGAGGAGGAAGAGGAGGAGGAGGAGGAGAGGAGGAGAGAGGAGGAGGAGGAGGAGGAAGAGGAGGAGGAAGAGGAGGAGGGAGAGGAGGAGGAGGAGGAGAGGAGGAGGAAGAGGAGGAGAGGAGGAGGAGGAAGAGGAGAGGAAGAGGAGGAGGAGGAGGAGGAGAGGAGGAGGAAGAGGAGGAGGAGGAGGAGGAGGAGGAGGAGGGAGAGGAGGAGAGGAGGAGGAGGAGAGGAGGAGGAGGAGGAGGAAGAGGAGGAGAGAGGAGGAAGAGGAGGAAGAGGAGGAGGAGGAGGAAGAGGAGGAGGAAGAGGAGGAGGAGGAGGAGGAGGAAGAGGAGAGGGAGAGGGAGAGGAGAGGAAGAGGAGGAGGAGGAGGAGGGAGAGGGAGAGGAGGAGGAGGAGGAGGAAGAGAGGAGGAGGAGAGGAGAGAGGAGGAAGAGGAGGAGGAAGAGGAGGAGGAGGAGGAGGAAGAGGAGGAGGAGGAGGAGGAGGGAGAGGAGGAGAGGAGGAGGAAGAGGAGGAGGAGGAGGAGGAGAGGAGGAGGAAGAGGAGGAGGAGGAGGAGAAGAGGAGGAGGAGGAGAGGGAGAGGAGGAGGAGGAGGAGAGGAGAGGAAGAGGAGGAAGAGGAGGAGGAGAGGAAGAGGAGGAGGAGGAGGAGGAGGAGGAGAGGAGGAGGAAGAGGAGGAGGAGGAGGAGAAGAGGAGGAGGGAGAGGAGGAGGAGGAGGAGGAGGAAGAGGAGGAGGAAGAGGAGGAGGAGGAGAGGAGGAAGAGGAGGAAGAGGAGGAGGAGGAGGAAGAGGAGGAGGAAGAGGAGGAGGAGGAGGAGGAGGAGGAGAGGAGGAGGAAGAGGAGGAGGAGGAGGAGGAGGAGGAGAGGGAGAGGAGGAGGAGGAGGAGGAGGAGGAGGAAGAGGAGGAGGAAGAGGAGGAGGAGGAGGAGGAGGGAGAGGAGGAGGAGGAGAGAGGAGGAGGAAGAGGAGGAAGAGGAGGAGGAGAGGAGGAGGAAGAGGAGGAGAGGAGGAGGAAGAGGAGGAGGAGGAGAGGAGAGGAAGAGGAGGAGGAGGAGAGGAGGAGGAAGAGGAGGAGGAGGAGAGGAAGAGGAGGAGGAGGAGGAAGAGGAGGAGGAGGAGGAGGAAGAGGAGGAGGAGGAGGAGGAGGGAGAGGAGGAGGAGGAGGAGGAGGAGGAAGAGAGGAAGAGGAGGAGAGGAGGAGGAGAGAGGAGGAAGAGGAGGAGGAGGAGGAGGAAGAGAGGAGAGGAGAGGAGGGAGAGGAGGAGGAGGAGGAGAGGAGGAGGAAGAGGAGGAAGAGGAGGAGGAGAGGAAGAGGAGGAGGAAGAGGAGGAGGAGGAGGAGGAGGAGGAGAGGAGGAGGAAGAGGAGGAGGGAGGAGGGAAGAGGAGGAGGAGAGGAGGAGGAGGAGGAGGAGGAAGAGGAGGAGGAAGAGGAGGAGGAGGAGGAGGAGGAAGAGGAGGAAGAGGAGGAGGAGGAGGAAGAGGAGGAGGAAGAGGAGGAGGAGGGGAGGAGGAGGAGAGGAGGAGGAAGAGGAGGAGGAGGAGGAGGAAGAGGAGGAGGGAGAGGAGGAGGAGGAGGAGGAGGAGGAGGAGGAAGAGGAGGAGGAAGAGGAGAGGAGGAGGAGGAGGGAGAGGAGGAGGAGGAGGAGAGAGAGGAGGAAGAGGAGGAAGAGGAGGAGGAGAGGAGGAGGAAGAGGAGGAGGAGGAGGAGGAAGAGGAGGAAGAGGAGGAGGAGGAGGAAGAGGAGGAGGAAGAGGAGGAGGAGGAGAGGAGGAGGAAGAGGAGAGGAGGAGGAGGAAGAGGAGGAGGGAGAGGAGGAGGAGGAGGAAGAGGAGGAGAGGAGGAGGAAGAGGAGGAGGAGGAGGAGGAGAGAGGAGGAGGAGGAGGAGAGGAGAGAAGAGGAGGAAGAGGAGGAGGAGGAGGAAGAGGAGGAGGAAGAGGAGGAGGAGGAGGAGGAGGAGAAGAGGAGTGAGAAAGGGGTATTCGTTGAATTAGTCCTGAGTCTCTCATCTCACCTTTCTGTTAGGACACTGTAAACTGTGTAAACTGGTTAAACTGGTTAAACTGGTTAAACTGGTTAAACTGTGTAAACTGGTTAAACTGGTTAAACTGGTTAAACTGTGTAAACTGGTTAAACTGTGTAAACTGGTTAAACTGGTTAAACTGTGTAAACTGGTTAAACTGGTTAAACTGTGTAAACTGGTTAAACTGGTTAAACTGGTTAAACTGTGTAAACTGTGTAAATTGTGTAAACTGGTTAAACTGTGTAAACTGTGTAAACTGTGTAAACTGGTTAAACTGGTTAAACTGTGTAAACTGGTTAAACTGGTTAAACTGTGTAAACTGGTTAAACTGGTTAAACTGTGTAAACTGTGTAAATTGTGTAAACTGGTTAAACTGGTTAAACTGGTTAAACTGTGTAAACTGGTTAAACTGTGTAAACTGTGTAAACTGTGTAAACTGGTTAAACTGGTTAAACTGTGTAAACTGGTTAAACTGGTTAAACTGTGTAAACTGGTTAAACTGTGTAAACTGGTTAAACTGGTTAAACTGGTTAAACTGTGTAAACTGTGTAAACTGGTTAAACTGTGTAAACTGTGTAAACTGGTTAAACTGTGTAAACTGTGTAAACTGGTTAAACTGGTTAAACTGGTTAAACTGTGTAAACTGGTTAAACTGTGTAAACTGGTTAAACTGTGTAAACTGTGTAAACTGTGTAAACTGGTTAAACTGGTTAAACTGTGTAAACTGGTTAAACTGTGTAAACTGGTTGAAATGGTTAAACTCTGTAAACTGGTTAAACTGGTTAAACTGGTTAAACTGTGTAAACTGGTTAAACTGTGTAAACTGGTTGAAATGGTTAAACTCTGTAAACTGGTTAAACTGGGTAAACTGTGTAAACTGTGTAAACTGTGTAAACTGGTTAAACTGTGTAAACTGTGTAAACTGGTTAAACTGTGTAAACTGTGTAAACTGGTTAAACTGGTTAAACTGGTTAAACTGTGTAAACTGGTTAAACTGTGTAAACTGGTTAAACTGTGTAAACTGTGTAAACTGTGTAAACTGGTTAAACTGGTTAAACTGTGTAAACTGGTTAAACTGTGTAAACTGGTTGAAATGGTTAAACTCTGTAAACTGGTTAAACTGGGTAAACTGGTTAAACTGTGTAAACTGGTTAAACTGTGTAAACTGTGTAAACTGGGTAAACTGGGTAAACTGGTTACTTTGTGTACTTTGTGTAAATCCTTGCGGCCTGTGTAACCTTTCACCGGTCAGTGTTGTCTGAACTCTGATCTTACAGGGGATTTAATCCCTTTCCTTCAATTTGAAAGAGCATCTTCAGCAGCATAGTTGATGAATGTCCACTTTAACTTTAATACCATAAATAAAGATGAACATGAGTTTAACTGCTTCAGAAGATGAAGGAGTGAGGAGAGTGAAGGTGAACGTTTACCATCAAATCCGGTGTATAAGACTTCATACTTTTGATACTAAATGTTCCCCTTGGATGTTGGCTGCGTCCTATATAGCGGTATAAAATACTGAGACCCTCACCATCACGCTGCACCCCTCACAGGCTGTGGGTCTACAGGTAGCCTGCAGGATTACAAACTCCACCTGGTGGAAACAGATGGTACTACAAGAGCTACACAGCTGCACACTACCTGACCCGATGATCCACAGATGGAACAGACTGCGTCTTATACACGGGAGAGACTTCGATTCTGGATTTTAGGGTAACTTGAAAACCTTTCTGAGAGAACCATCTGGTACGTCTGAGTGCTGACACAGAGCGTTAGACTGTCCTCCACAGCCCTCGTCTCAAACCACCTGAGGAGGTTTGAACCTCTGTGTGGGTTTACAGGTGAAGCTGAATGTGACTGCACCACCATCCTGATGTTTGTTTGTTTGTTTGTTTACCTCCACAGTGCAGCAGGTCCTGCAGTAACACCAGGTGCATGGGACAGCTGCATCGAGGCGTGCCGTCTCCTTTGGCGATGCAGATGTGAGAGCAGCCGCCGTTGTCACGGGAACAAGGATGTGATGCTGGAGAAAAGAAATGGCCCAATCACTCAAACTGAACAAACAAAACTAAACCTAACTCTAAAGGTTTTCACTTCTTTTTAAACGTAAACCTATTCAATAAAAACTCGCTCTAAACATTAAACCCAGCCTCCCTGCAGAGATGAACATTTAACCCTCAGTTTAATTCACTACCCTCTGAAGTCACTAAGGACAAAAAATGTCCACTTACAAAAAACTGATATAAAAATAGAACAGATTGATATTTTTTTCTACTTTTTTCTGCATAAATCTCTTAAACAACTTCAGCCCTGCTCAAAACTACCAAACATTCAATTTTTTTTTAGGAATTTAACCCTTTAAATGCCAGTTTGATTACTTGATGTCAATGTTGTTATTTAAGAAAAAAACACAAAAATTAGATTGGATAGGATTGGATATGTCAAAGATTATCCAAAATATTGACTTTGAAGCATTGTTAGTTTTTGTGTAGCATCAGATTTCAAATGTAGTTCCCTGTTTGGACATTGGAGGGCGAAAACGTCCAATTTACAAAAACTACTACAAAAATAAAACAGATTTAATATTTTTTTCTACTTTTTTGTGCATAAATCTCTTAAACAACTTCAGCCCTGCTCAAAACTGTCAAATATTGAATAATTATCAGGAATTTAACCCTTTAAATGCCAGTTTGATTACATGATTCTGGCATTTAAATGGTTAAATTCCTGATAATTATTCAATATTTGAGTGTAAAAGATGTAACAACAGGATCCAGGTTAAATCATCTTCTTCTTTATCACGGTATGGATTAGATCATGAGGTCTTTACCGAACTCCTGAGGATCCATCTCGTCCACAGCCTGGACGGAGGTCAGGTATGAGATCCGTCCCTGGATGCGCGTGCGTCCGTCCCCAGTCAGTTTGTCCACCCTCTCGATCATCTGCTGCTGCCGGTCGATCCAGTACAGGTGATCTCCCAGGATGGTCAGACCCATCGGCTGCAGGATGTTGGAGTCCTGGAGGACGATGCGATTGGCTCCTGAGGGGGACAGAATGAACCGTCAGCACGCCAGAGCCTCGAGCATCAGAAGATTCTCTGAGATGAGAATGAAACTCTCCGATCTGATATCAAATTCACAAAGCTTCAGCGACCAGTAGGCTCATACACTGGTACACCTTTATATATATCTGCTTCCTCTCTATCTGTTTTTATCATGCATGTTTTTATGCTCTCTGTCCCAAACACTCGGACAGAAATTGTGAAAGGGCTTTTGGGTACTCTGCACCCTCAGCCTGGAATCTGTTACAGAATGACTTAAAGCTCAAGGAGCCGGTGTCCTTAAATGTTTTAAAACTAAAATGAAAGACATGGAAGCAGATTCTATAGCAGGGGTCCCCAAACTACGGCCCGCGGCCGGATACGGCCCCTCCCCATATTTGGCCCAGCCCTCAGAACAATTCCAAAATCGCATTTTGAAAATTATTATTATTATTTTTTTTAATTTTTATCATAGACCTGTAAAAGTCTGGCTTTTTAAATAAAATGTTCCTTAACTGTTAACTATTTTCAATCTTATCTATTCGTAAATTAATTAGTAAGTAACTTTTTCACAAACACACAGAACGTGACATTTGACGTCAAGTGACATTCCGTGTTGATAGCAAATCCGAGGCCGATCAGGAGAAGCGAGCCGGCTAGAAACCTCAACAACACAAAAAATGTATTCGGAATGCAGGATATTTAACCAGCAGTGGACAAATGATTATTTTGGAAATGGTACCTTACTTTTTTATCGGACGTGACAGAACTGTTAAAGGGCCTTCACTTGCAGCTCCAAGGCAAGGGGAAGCTGATTTGTGATATTCCCAAATAAAACCATTTGAGGTGAAACTAGTGCTGATCGTGGGACAGGTGCAAAAGCAAAACTTCACCCATCTCCCTGCTACCCAAAAACTCTCTGCTGAGAAACCAGCGGTCCCGTTTCCAACTGAAGAGTGTTTGGAAGCACTGGAAATACTGAAGACGGAGTTTGGTGCGTGATTCCGTGAATTACATGTTCACTCGAAAGAAATCCGTCTTTTCCAGAACCCCTTTGTTGCCGACATTGACGAAGCCCTGCCTTCTTATCAGTTTGAGTTGGCGAGTTACAAAATTGTGTTGCTTTGAAAGACACATTGGATTCTATGTGGCACTCCCAAAAGACAATTACCCAAACATCAAAAAGCATGCTATGAAGATGTCCACACTTTTGGCAGCACATATATCTGGCAGCACATATATCTGCGAGCAAACCTTTTCACACATGAAACTGCTGAAAACTCCGATGAGATCAAGACTTACCGATGAACATTTGCATCAGTCTTTGAGACTGGCTGTGACAAAATGCATAACAATAATAAAATGATCTAGCATTAGGCATAATAAACAAATATCCTGAAACTACACTAGCATCAGTAGGCATAGCAAATATATAATCATAATAAAATCTATCGCCACAATAATACCGGTAGTCACTGCAGCACATGTTATTTTCTGTTACAGACAGACCCTGGCGCCCCGTCAGAGAAAGGCAAAGTTATGTGGCCCTCAAAGAAAAAAGTTTGGGGACCCCTGTTCAATAGGATGTGGATGTTTCAGCTCGGCTGTTTGAACAACTGATTCTCAGATAAGACTCATAGATGGTTCTATTTTAATCTAAATGTTGTGTTTTGTAAATTGTACTTTGTCTCTCTTTGTGTTTCCGTCTGTAACTTTGTGTTTTTGCTGCTGCCTGTCTCGACCAGGTCCCTTGAAAAGAGGTTTTTAATCTCAATGGGACCAACCTGGTTGAATAAATAAAAAAAGAGGTGAAGCGACTACGATGTTTAAAATCTCTCACCTGTCAGGTCGCTGCTCTCGATGCGTTTGAGGTCTCCGTCCACCCAGAACAGTTTCCCCAGTTTGTTGTCGAGAGCGAGGGCGACGGGTCGGATGAGTCCGTGGTGAACAGAGACTCTCTCTCCGTCCGTCCAGACTCGCTCCCTCGATCTTAGCCGAGCGCTCCTGAACCGTGGTGAAGTACAAGTACCTGCAGAGAGACGCACGCCGTGTTCACCCCGAGTCGATCCTTTCTAAACGTAGAGCACAACACGTCTGCGTTCAAAACGCTCCTTTCTTACCCTTTCTCGGCGTTGACCACGATGGCTCGCGGTTTGTCCGTGTCGTCCTTCAGGACCACGCCCACTGTGTGTCCGTCCATGCGCTGCACGTTGATGGTGTTGGTGGTCTCACAGGTCCAGTAAAGATGGCGCTGTAGGGTCCAGGCTGAGGTCGTGGAGCTGGTTGTCCTGAACGCTGCTGCTGACGATCATGGAGGACTGCAGGACGCACAGGTCACATGGTCAACACGGGATGTCATAATAATATAATAAGTATTATTTGTTTATGAAGCGCTTTAAATCAAAGTGCTGTACAAAACAATAGTTTTTAACCACTTCCTGCATCACATGTTAGCTCGGTTCAGAGCGCCGTTTTACGCGGTGATATTTACCGCCCTGTGATGTTTCTCCTTCAGTCTGAATGTTGGCGGCGTAATGAGGGGAGGAAGTGACCGTATTATAAATGAAACGTATTATTATTATCATTATTATTAAATCTGACTTTAAGAACAAAGATAATAAACATTAAAAGTGTTTTCATCCTCTTTGATAATCCTCCAGCTGTGTGAGTCGTTACCATGGCGCCGTCGTCTCTCGCCCGGCGGATGTTCTGCCGGCCGTCCAGCCAGTACACCAGCCGGTCCAGCGGGTCGTAGTTGACGGCGCGGACGTTCCTCAGGACGTGGATGGGCAGGATGATGTCAGGACTCTGCTCGCCCAGAACCATCCGGCTGATACTCGCCTTCTGGCTGAAGAGCAGGAAGCTGGAGGGAGCTGCACACACACACACACACACACACACACACATACACACAACACACACACACACACACACACACACACACACACACACACACAACAGGTCACACACACACACACACACACACACACAGACACAGGTCACACACACACAGGTCACACACACACACACACACACACACACACACACACACAGGTCACACACCACACACACACACAGGTCACACACACACACACACACACACACACACACACACATACAGGTCACACACAGGAAATAAATAATAAAGGAAATAAAAAGATCAAAATATAAAACATGCATCAACGGAGCGTGCAGCGGGCAATGTGAAGAGACTGTTGTCATGGAGACAGGACGCTGTACTTCACTTCCTGTTCCATGTGTGTGTGTGTGTGTGTGTCTGCTCTCTACTCACAGCTGCAGTTTCGTCCGTCCGAGTTCAGAGTGTAGTGGGAGGCGCAGCGGCACTGAGCGCCAGCGGGCGTGGCCAGGCACAGGTGGGCGCAGTTTCCGTTGCTATGGGAACACTCGTTGGTTCCCTCCTGACGGGACGAGTGGAACACGAGAATGTCGAGCATGAGCTCCAGCTGGCCCTGAGGACACGAGAGGACATTTATTCAGAAAAAAGTCGTCTCCAGGTAAGACAAAAAGAGGAAGTGGGCGTGTACCTGCAGCACCACAGTGCGGTTGAGTCCGCTGCGCTTGTCCGCACGCTCGATGCTGCGCAGGTTGAAGTCGGTCCAGTAGATGAAGTCTCGGTACTGAGTGAGACCGAAGGGTGAGGCAGGTCGTCCACGATGATCTCCCTCTGCAGGCCTGGAGGAGACATGACAACAAGATGACAGTAATGTAGCATTAGCATCAAAGCGCTACCGTGTGAGCACAGAGCACCCTGCTGACTCTCTAATGAATGGTGTTGTCTGATAGCTCTCTAATGGATGGTGTTATCTGATAGCTCTCTAATAGATGGTGTCGTCTGATAGCTCTCTAAGATGGTGTGTCTGATAGCTCTCTAATGGATGGTGTTGTCTGATAGCTCTCTAATGGATGGTGTTGTCTGATAGCTCTCTAATAGATGGTGTTGTCTGATAGCTCTCTAATGGATGGTGTTGTCTGATAGCTCTCTAATGGATGGTGTTGTCTGATAGCTCTCAATGGATGGTGTTGTCTGATAGCTCTCTAATGGATGGTGTTGTCTGATAGCTCTCTAATAGATGGTGTTGTCTGATAGCTCTCTAATAGATGGTGTTGTCTGATAGCTCTCTAATGGATGGTGTTGTCTGATAGCTCTCATGGATGGTGTTGTCTGATAGCTCTCTAATAGATGGTGTTGTCTGATAGCTCTCTAATGGATGGTGTTGTCTGATAGCTCTCTAATAGATGGTGTTGTCTGATAGCTCTCTAATAGATGGTGTTATCTGATAGCTCTCTCATGGATGGTGTTGTCTGATAGCTCTCTAATGGATGGTGTTGTCTGATAGCTCTCTAATAGATGGTGTTGTCTGATAGCTCTCTAATGGATGGTGTTGTCTGATAGCTCTCTAATAGATGGTGTTGTCTGATAGCTCTCTCATGGATGGTGTTGTCTGATAGCTCTCTAATAGATGGTGTTGTCTGATAGCTCTCTAATAGATGGTGTTGTCTGATAGCTCTCTAATGGATGGTGTTGTCTGATAGCTCTCTAATAGATGGTGTTATCTGATAGCTCTCTAATGGATGGTGTTGTCTGATAGCTCTCTAATAGATGGTGTTGTCTGATAGCTCTCTAATGGATGGTGTTGTCTGATAGCTCTCTCATGGATGGTGTTGTCTGATAGCTCTCTAATAGATGGTGTTGTCTGATAGCTCTCTAATAGATTGTTGTCTGATAGCTCTCTAATGGATGGTGTTGTCTGATAGCTCTCTAATAGATGGTGTTATTGATAGCTCTCTCATGGATGTGTTATCTGATAGCTCTCTCATGGATGGTGTTGTCTGATAGCTCTCTAATAGATGGTGTTGTCTGATAGCTCTCTAATGGATGGTGTTGTCTGATAGCTCTCTCATGGATGGTGTTGTCTGATAGCTCTCTAATGGATGGTGTCGTCTGATAGCTCTCTAATGGATGGTGTTATCTGATAGCTCTCTAATAGATGGTGTTATCTGATAGCTCTCTAATGGATGGTGTCGTCTGATAGCTCTCTAATAGATGGTGTTGTCTGATAGCTCTCTAATAGATGGTGTTGTCTGATAGCTCTCTAATAGATGGTGTTGTCTGATAGCTCTCTAATGGATGGTGTTGTCTGATAGCTCTCTAATGGATGGTGTTGTCTGATAGCTCTCTAATGGATGGTGTTGTCTGATAGCTCTCTAATGGATGGTGTTGTCTGATAGCTCTCTAATAGATGGTGTTGTCTGATAGCTCTCTAATAGATGGTGTTGTCTGATAGCTCTCTAATAGATGGTGTTGTCTGATAGCTCTCTCATGGATGGTGTTGTCTGATAGCTCTCTAATGGATGGTGTTGTCTGATAGCTCTCTCATGGATGGTGTTGTCTGATAGCTCTCTAATAGATGGTGTTGTCTGATAGCTCTCTAATAGATGGTGTTGTCTGATAGCTCTCTAATAGATGGTGTTGTCTGATAGCTCTCTAATAGATGGTGTTGTCTGATAGCTCTCTAATGGATGGTGTTGTCTGATAGCTCTCTAATAGATGGTGTTGTCTGATAGCTCTCTAATGGATGGTGTTGTCTGATAGCTCTCTCATGGATGGTGTTGTCTGATAGCTCTCTAATAGATGGTGTTGTCTGATAGCTCTCTAATAGATGGTGTTGTCTGATAGCTCTCTAATGGATGGTGTTGTCTGATAGCTCTCTAATAGATGGTGTTATCTGATAGCTCTCTCATGGATGGTGTTATCTGATAGCTCTCTCATGGATGGTGTTGTCTGATAGCTCTCTAATAGATGGTGTTGTCTGATAGCTCTCTAATGGATGGTTGTCTGATAGCTCTCTCATGGATGGTGTTGTCTGATAGCTCTCTAATGGATGGTGTCGTCTGATAGCTCTCTCATGGATGGTGTTGTCTGATAGCTCTCTCATGGATGGTGTTGTCTGATAGCTCTCTAATGGATGGTGTTGTCTGATAGCTCTCTAATGGATGGTGTTATCTGATAGCTCTCTAATGGAGTGTTGTCTGATAGCTCTCTAATGGATGGTGTCGTCTGATAGCTCTCTCATGGATGGTGTTGTCTGATAGCTCTCTCATGGATGGTGTTGTCTGATAGCTCTCTAATGGATGGTGTTGTCTGATAGCTCTCTAATGGATGGTGTTATCTGATAGCTCTCTCATGGATGGTGTTATCTGTAGCTCTCTCATGGATGGTGTTGTCTGATAGCTCTCTCATGGATGGTGTTGTCTGATAGCTCTCTAATGGATGGTGTTGTCTGATAGCTCTCTAATGGATGGTGTTATCTGATAGCTCTCTAATGGATGGTGTTGTCTGATAGCTCTCTAATGGATGGTGTTATCTGATAGCTCTCTAATGGATGGTGTTATCTGATAGCTCTCTAATGGATGGTGTTATCTGATAGCTCTCTAATGGATGTGTTATCTGATACTCTCTAATGGATGGTGTTGTCTGATAGCTCTCTAATGGATGTGTTTATCTGATAGCTCTCTAATAGATGGTGTTGTCTGATAGCTCTTCTCATGGATGGTGTTGTCTGATAGCTCTCTAATGGATGGTGTTGTCTGATAGCTCTCTAATGGATGGTGTTGTCTGATAGCTCTCTGGATGTTGTCTGATAGCTCTCTCATGGATGGTGTTGTCTGATAGTCTCTCATGGATGGTGTTGTCTGATAGCTCTCTCATGGATGGTGTTGTCTGATAGCTCTCTAATGAATGGTGTTGTCTGATAGCTCTCTCATGGATGGTGTTGTCTGATAGCTCTCTCATGGATGGTGTTGTCTGATAGCTCTCTAATAGATGGTGTTGTCTGATAGCTCTCTAATAGATGGTGTTATCTGATAGCTCTCTCATGGATGGTGTTGTCTGATAGCTCTCTAATAGATGGTGTTGTCTGATAGCTCTCTAATAGATGTGTTGTCTGATAGCTCTTAATAGATGGTGTTGTCTGATAGCTCCTAATAGATGGTGTTGTCTGATAGCTCTCTAATGGATGGTGTTATCTGATAGCTCTCTAATGGATGGTGTTGTCTGATAGCTCTCTAATGGATGGTGTTGTCTGATAGCTCTCTAATGGATGGTGTTGTCTGATAGCTCTCTAATGGATGTGTGTCTGATAGCTCTCTAATAGATGGTGTTGTCTGATAGCTCTCTAATAGATGGTGTTGTCTGATAGCTCTCTAATAGATGGTGTTGTCTGATAGCTCTCTCATGGATGGTGTTGTCTGATAGCTCTCTAATGGATGGTGTTGTCTGATAGCTCTCTAATGGATGGTGTTGTCTGATAGCTCTCTCATGGATGGTGTTGTCTGATAGCTCTCTCATGGATGGTGTTGTCTGATAGCTCTCTAATGGATGGTGTTGTCTGATAGCTCTCTAATGGATGGTGTTGTCTGATAGCTCTCTAATGGATGGTGTTGTCTGATAGCTCTCTAATGGATGGTGTTGTCTGATAGCTCTCTAATGGATGGTGTTGTCTGATAGCTCTCTCATGGTGTTTGTCTGATAGCTCTCTAATGGATGTGTTGTCTGATAGCTCTCTAATGGATGGTGTTGTCTGATAGCTCTCTAATGGATGGTGTTGTCTGATAGCTCTCTAATAGATGGTGTTGTCTGATAGCTCTCTAATAGATGGTGCTGTCTGATAGCTCTCTAATGGATGGTGTTGTCTGATAGCTCTCTAATAGATGGTGTTGTCTGATAGCTCTCTAATGGATGGTGTTGTCTGATAGCTCTCTAATAGATGGTGTTGTCTGATAGCTCTCTAATAGCTCTCTAATAGATGGTGTTGTCTGATAGCTCTCTCATGGATGGTGTTGTCTGATAGCTCTCTCATGGATGGTGTTGTCTGATAGCTCTCTAATAGATGGTGTTGTCTGATAGCTCTCTCATGGATGGTGTTGTCTGATAGCTCTCTAATGGATGGTGTTGTCTGATAGCTCTCTCATGGATGGTGTTGTCTGATAGCTCTCTCATGGATGGTGTTGTCTGATAGCTCTCTAATGGATGGTGTTGTCTGATAGCTCTCTAATGGATGGTGTTGTCTGATAGCTCTCTAATGGATGGTGTTGTCTGATAGCTCTCTAATGGATGGTGTTGTCTGATAGCTCTCTAATAGATGGTGTTGTCTGATAGCTCTCTAATAGATGGTGTTGTCTGATAGCTCTCTAATAGCTCTCTAATAGATGGTGTTGTCTGATAGCTCTCTCAGGATGGTGTTGTCTGATAGCTCTCTAATAGATGGTGTTGTCTGATAGCTCTCTAATGGATGGTGTTGTCTGATAGCTCTCTAATGGATGGTGTTATCTGATAGCTCTCTAATAGATGGTGTTATCTGATAGCTCTCTAATAGATGGTGTTATCTGATAGCTCTCTAATGGATGGTGTTATCTGATAGCTCTCTATAGATGGTGTTATCTGATAGCTCTCTAATGGATGGTGTTGTCTGATAGCTCTCTAATGGATGGTGTTGTCTGATAGCTCTCTAATAGATGGTGTTGTCTGATAGCTCTCTAATGGATGATGTCATCTGATAGCTCTCTAATAGATGGTGTTGTCTGATAGCTCTCTAATGGATGGTGTTGTCTGATAGCTCTCTAATAGATGGTGTTGTCTGATAGCTCTCTAATAGATGGTGTTGTCTGATAGCTCTCTAATGGATGATGTCATCTGATAGCTCTCTAATAGATGGTGTTGTCTGATAGCTCTCTAATGGATGGTGTTGTCTGATAGCTCTCTAATGGATGGTGTTGTCTGATAGCTCTCTCATGGATGGTGTTGTCTGATAGCTCTCTAATGGATGGTGTTGTCTGATAGCTCTCTAATGGATGGTGTTGTCTGATAGCTCTCTAATAGATGGTGTTATCTGATAGCTCTCTCATGGATGGTGTTGTCTGATAGCTCTCTAATGAATGGTGTTGTCTGATAGCTCTCTAATGGATGGTGTTGTCTGATAGCTCTCTAATGGATGGTGTTGTCTGATAGCTCTCTCATGGATGGTGTTGTCTGATAGCTCTCTAATGGATGGTGTTGTCTGATAGCTCTCTAATGGATGGTGTTGTCTGATAGCTCTCTAATAGATGGTGTTGTCTGATAGCTCTCTAATGGATGGTGTTGTCTGATAGCTCTCTAATGGATGGTGTTGTCTGATAGCTCTCTAATGGATGGTGTTGTCTGATAGCTCTCTAATAGATGGTGTTGTCTGATAGCTCTCTAATAGATGGTGTTGTCTGATAGCTCTCTAATGGATGGTGTTGTCTGATAGCTCTCTAATGGATGGTGTTGTCTGAACCTTGCATGTTGGTGCTCTCGATCATGCACGTGTCCAGGTCGGTCCAGTACAGTCGGTGGTCTACGTAGTCGATGGTCAGTCCGTTGGCCCGGCCCACTTTGTCCACCAGGGTGTTTGTGGTGCTGCCGTCCATGTAGGCCCGGGCGATGCGAGGCCGACCCCCCCACTCGGTCCAGTACATGAATCTGCACAACAACACAAACATTACACAACGTCTCCACGGCGGCGTGCTGCAGGAACACGCTCTCCTGTTTCCTGTTTACTCAGAAACATGTTTGTGTTTTTAATTAATGACATCATTGATGACATCAGACGCCTGGAGGCGAGCACGCTGACAGATCTGAACCATGACATCATGAAGACATCCACAGGTGAGGTTCACACACACACACACACACACACACACACACACACACACACACACAGACACACACACACACACACAGACACACACACACACACACATACACACACACACACAAAGACACACACATACAGACACACACACACACACACACGTCACACGCATACAGACACACACACACACACACACACACACACACACACACACACACACAGTCACACGCATACACACACACCACACACACACACACACACACACACACAGTCACACGCATACACACACACAGTGGGTAACAAACTGGTTTAATAGCATCCTGCCTCTCTCAGCTGGAGGGTTATGGGAGAAAAGGGGCGTGGCTTTGCTGTGGTACTGCATACCTTCATGATGACATCGCTTCACTCTCTCAGAGTGAAAACACACGCTACATGAAGTCACACCTCACAGACACACGGGCCTGCAGCAGCCCGATTCATCCTGTTCACACTCGTCCACAAAGCGTTCTTTGGATGTTGTAGTTCTCGTTCTTACCCGTTGGCGGGGTCCAGAGCCAGGGAGCGAGGGTTGTCCAGCGAGCGAGGGTTATCCAGGTCCTTGCAGACCAGAACCTGTCGATGCTGACCGTCCAGCCGGGCCACCTCGATGCGGTTCGTGCCCGTGTCGGCCCAGTAGATGTTGCGACCCATCCAGTCGACCGCCATGCCTTCTGGGTAGTCGAGTCCAAACTCTATGACGTGCTCCACAGAGCTGCCGTTCATGTACGCCCGGCTGATCGTCTGAGAGACACGAGGAAAGGTTAAGATTACTTATTAATCCGACACGGCGCCTGCAGGTCGATCACAGACGTCACTGAGAACAGAAAGAACCAAACGCTGGTCACAGTTTGTTTTTCATGTCAGTCCTCAGTGTCTCCCTGTAGTCTCAGTGATGTAGAAGTCTGTCTCATTTCACTTTAACTAACTCAGACAGTAATATCCACCTGATGACATCACACACTGACCTCATGACATCACACACTGACCTCATGACATCACACACTGACCTCATGACATCACACACTGACCTCATGACATCACACACTGACCTTATGACATCACACATTGACCTTATGACATCACACACTGACCTTATGACATCACACATTGACCTCATGACATCACACATTGACCTCATGACATCACACATTGACCTTATGACATCACACACTGACCTTATGACATCACACACTGACCATATGACATCACCCACTGACCTCATGACATCACACACTGACCTCATGACATCACAAACTGACCTTATGACATCACACACAGATCTTATGACATCACACACTGACCTCATGACATCACACACTGACCTCATGACATCACACACTGACCTTATGACATCACACACTGACCTTATGACATCACACACTGACCATATGACATCACACACTGACCTCATGACATCACACACTGACCTCATGACATCACACACTGACCTCATGACATCACACACTGACCTTTGTTACCGTTCCTTTGAGCTGTTTGACCTCACTTTTTTATCCCTAACCACTTCCTGTTTCTGTGCTCAACTTCCTGTCCAACCTTCCATCTACAGGAAGGGCCTTACTTTATTTCAAAATAAAAGCACACAGCAAGTAACAATACTCTCAGCTTAAGAAAGTACAAAAATTTCAAAATAAAAACTAAAACAATTTTATTTCTAAATGCAAAATAAAGGCTTTTCAAACATGCGATTAAAAATGTGATCGTTTGACAGGCTTACTTTTTCTAAACTCTGATAGCTGTGTGTTTTGTTGTGTTTACCTTTCATAAGTACGGAGGCCCTGAAGGTCAAATGCAAAAGCACGGGTAGGACTGCACTACTTGTTTGTGATTGGACAAAACCAAGGTTTTTGCAACATTGACATCACTTCCTTTACTCCTTGTTTGGATGAAGTCGCTGAGGAAATATCAGAAACGTTTTGTGTTCCATTAAATTCAGTCATTACACTTCAATAACCCCCGCTCACCTTGGCCTGAATGTCCGTCCAATAAATCCTCCTCTCTGACACGTCGAAGTCGAGAGCGGACGCCTCTTTGACGCCGCTCAGAGGGATCGCCACGTCGTTACTGTTTGTACCCAGAGAGATGCTGCGGATGTTGTCCCTGACAGAGAAAATCTGCTGGTTAACACCTCACACACACTTTTATTCATTCTTCAGGAGTGTGTGTGTGTGTGTGTGTGTGTTTACCTGTTGGTAAAGAGCAGGAAGGCTTCAGGCACCACGCAGGTCTGCAGGTCTGACAGCAGCT